AAAAATACTGTGGCACCCGAGAATCTGGCCATTAGTATTTGGTAGGGGTGGGGGGTTGGGGGGTTGGTAAGGGGGTATGGGAGGGGGTTAAAAATAAAAAAAATCGTAACTCCAAAATTACAGTAGATAGCGAAACGCGGTTTTCAATTTAAGATTAGGAATAATATTTGCAACAAAATTTGTAATAACATCAAAATCAGTCAAAGTGGCAGTTTTTGAGATAAAAAAAATTGGAAAAATTCCTTTAGTTTGAAACTAAAAGAACTGCCTACCAACTTTTTATTAACATATTTTAGTATGGGCGGCTATACGTGCCTCCCGGCGCCATTTTTTTTTAAATAAACTTCGATTATTTCCACTTTTTCTGCAAGTGAGTACACCATAATTGTTAAAAAGTTTAACGATATTGAGAAGAACTGCAACGCACAAGTCACAGAACAGCTATCTAGCAACTACCGCACCTGATCGTTCATTGTGGCAAGTGAAAAAATGCGTAAATATCTAGAAATAATAAGAAAAACAGCAAATTTGTCGAAGGAATTTATCCTTATCATTTACTCTGATAAATGTTTAAATAAACTTTTCAAATTTCAATCCTTCATATTTTCTCAATGACTCAACCAAACCGATTTTCAAAAACGAAGCGGGAAAGTATAGAGAATAGAAAGCCCTTTTCACTGCGGTACCACTTGACCCCCCTTTCCCTTTGAAAAAAATTGGGGGATGACACCCCCGCTTAGAGTGTTGAAGATTTTGCAATCATTTTTGGGGCAAAAGTTGTCCCTCTCACAAACAAAATAGACGTGTTTTTGAATTTTCCGAAAAAAAAAAAAATTACCGGCTGTTATGCCTTGCGGAACGTTTTCGATGGGCCGCCCTGTATATCCGACTAAATTGTTTGGAATGTATAAATAAAATTACTCGATCGATTTAAGGTTAAGGTCTTATTATTTATTCAAGTTACGAAATAACTAATAACGTTGAACTTCCATGCGTTTCTTTTGTGACAATCTAATACAGTTCTTGATGACTGATATTTAATCAATGTATTAATATAGATGAAATATTAATTACAATTTCTCTAAAAATTAGTTAATTGAAAAGATGTTTTGTTTCATCATTGTAGTTTAAGAAATTTTTATTGTAGTATAGACTCAGCACAAACATGTTTGCATTTTGCTCAAAGTTTATGAAAACTAATTTTCTTGCAATTTTTTCCAATAAAAAAATATAGCAGAGAAAAATGTTTTTTTTTTAATAAAAATAAGATTTTTTAACATATCAATTGAGACATTTGAATTTGATTTGAAATTTTGCGGATATGTTGGGTCGAGATAAAAATCGAGGTAAATGAGGTAATAACTTTTCACTGGTAAAAAAATAAGTACCAAGTTCCAAACCAAAGTTCTACAGGGTGTCCCCAAAAAAAGTTAAGCATCAAGGTTAGTTTTTTTTAAACGGAACACCCTATATATTATTTGATTTTCGGATTCTGAAAGGTGAGTTTTACTAAAGAAACATATGCCTAAAGTGTAAGGATTTTGACATATTTCACATTTTGTGAAAATAAAAAATAAATTTAAATTTCAATAAGAGCTGCCTAAATTGTAATTTACCTTGTATATATATATATATATATAAAATAACCATTGTATGCTAAACCAAATTAAAATTTGATCTGAAACGTTATATAGAGTGAGACAAAATTAATATTGAACATTGATCATTTTAAAAGCAAGTTACTACTTTATTTTAAATGGAACACCCAGTATATTATTCCGATATTCAGTGGAGAATTCATATATCTTAAAAATACTATTGATTTTCTAACCCATAGACAAAGGATTTCCAAGATATTTTAATTTTTATGATTTTGCGTCAGTAGATCTTTATTATTTGATACAATCTAGTTGGCTGTGATACACATTTTGTTAATTTAACAAAAATTAAAGGTTGTAGAATAAAATTTTCAACAGTAATAAAAAGAATACTCGTTTAAAACATATTTTAATTCGTACAAAGTTAAAAATCGATACAAACATAATAATTATGCGAGAAAAATTAGCTAAATAAAATAAAATGTTCAAAATGCGTCCTTTCCTATTCCCTGCATAAAATGGTTCTCTTTTCAAAAAAAATCTTTTCATGTTAAAAGGCATTTTTTTTATCTGGAGTTCTACTTCAAAAAGCAGCCACAATAATTTCTATCATGTTGTCGACAATAGTTGGAGGAGTTTTGTAAACCTTGTCTTTAACAGATCCCCATAAAAAAGTTCAGACTCTCTACTCTATACCAGGAGCATTTAAGTATTCTATTAATTGGTAAATGTACAGGGTGGGTCAAATTCGACGCTTTTAAATGGAAACACCCTTTTCTATTGGAGATCGACAAAAACTAATATCGGTGTCTGGAGCTCAATTTTCATCAAAAACATGATGGTGAAAACCGCACATCAATATCTGTTACCGTTTCGGAGTTACGGGGTGTTTTTCAAAAATGTGCATCTTTAACAAATCGCTGTAACTTTTTTACTATGGAAAATTTTGTATTTCTATGAAAACATTTTCAAAGCACCTTTTTACGTAGAATTTAATGGTTTAAGTATAATTTTTTAAAATTAATAATTTAAGAATTATCAACAGAAAATTTGATTTTTATGTGGGACACCCTATATATTTTTTAATTTATGAAGTATAAAATATAACACACTTGATATTTTGCTCGATTCCTCTTCGAGATATAGAGTATATAAAATTCGCCCGCTTTAAATAAAGTAGGCTTTGAACGGCACCGGCTGTAATGCAAAAAAATTTTAGCTGTGAGCATCAATTAAAACGAAAATAATATTTGCTATGAGAGATGCAGAATTTTATAACAATTTAAAATATATTTAACCAACATTTAAACTATATCTAATAACAATAAAAGTAAATAAAAACCAAGATCCCATGAGATTTTGCTACAAGGTGTTCGACATAGTGACCGTCTTCTGTTATTGGCAGACGGGGCAGTTTTGGAACATTTCTCGCGGAATTCATCAACTCAGTGGAGGTGAAAGATACCCTCTTATAACTGCTAAGTATTTCTAATTGTTGTCTAGATTATACGGAAGAATAAGGAACCTTTATTCTTCCGCAAATATATTCATAAGGATTAGATCCATGGGCATTAAGTCAGGCGGCCACGACGGCCAACCGCTGGGATCTTGGTTAGCTATTCAATTATTCTTGAAACTAGTTTAAAAATTTGCTGATAACTTCAGCGTTCAGAGGCGTCGCGTCGTCTTGCTGGAAAAATATGTTTAGGAGTTCGATTAAAGGCATATCATCAATAAGGGTCCAAAGCCTACTAGTTAAAAGTGGCGAATTTTTAAAAATTCTGTATTTCGAAGGGGATTGTAACAAAATATCAAGCGTGCTATATTTTTGAAAGGTAATTTTAAATTCTTTTCAGCTAATTAAAAAATATAGAGGGTGTCCCAAATAAAAAATAAATTTTCTGTTGATAACTCGTAAATTATTAATTTAAAAAAATATGCTTAAACCATTAAATTCTACGTAAAAGGTGCTTTGAAAATGTTTTCATAGAAATACAAAATTTTCCATAGCAAAAAAGTTACAGCGATTTGATAAAATGCACATTTTTGAAAAACACCCCGTAACTCCGAAACGGTAACAGATATCGATATGCGGTTTTCACCATCATGTTTTTGACAAAAATTGAGCTCCAGACACCGATATTAGTTTTTGTCTGTCTCCTATAGAAAAGGGTGTTTCCATTTAAAAGCGTCGAATTTGAGCCACACTGTACACTGCATCACCAACTAATAGGATCATATAAATTCTCTCTGATGTAGGATAAGTTTCCATTTTCTGCAAATTTCTGAGATTTTTTTGACACAAAATGATAACTATTTGCTGAAATTGAACTAATTTGACAATTGTGTTGAAGTAACGCAGACATATCATAGCCACCTAGATTATAATAATGAAAATATCTAGAAAAATCTTTATTTGAAGGGTAGGCACTCTAAATAGTATGTTGAAGAGACATGAATTCCCCATTGAATATCGGAATAATATACTGGGTGTCCCATTTAAAATAAAAGAGTACCTCGCTTTTATAAGTGACCAATTTCAGTATTAATTTCGTCTCACCCTGCATAACTTTTTGGGTCAAATTTTAATATGATTTAAAGGACAATAGTTATTTTAACTACATATTAGACTAACTACATATTAGACTATACCGGGTAAGTTCTAATTTAGGTAGATTTTATTGAATTTTAAAAACTGTGCTTCATTTTTAGAAAATGTTAAATATGTCAAGAACGTTACATTTTAGTCATATGCTGCGTTAATGAAACTCACCTTTATTTTCTATCTAGAATCCGAAAATCAGTTGATATATAGGATATTCCATTATAGAAAACACAACTTTTTTGGGGGACACCCTGTAGAACTCGCTGTATTTTTAAAAAATGATCTAAATTAACCTACATATGCTCACAAATTTTATTTCAATACAAACTTTGGTTCTCCTTGGACACCTGTACACCCTGTATAATCTATTAATATTTGTATTTATTATAATATTATCATAAAAAATCACCTGAACGTACTTCTTTGTTAAAAAGAAATAAAAAATACAACAGGTTTTATAGTAACATTGAAATTATATTTTTTTTCTGCAATAATGTAAATATTAATGCAAACTTGAAAAATAAATAACAAAATATATTGCTGTTTAGTTTATTGATACGTATAAAGGCCCAAACCAAAAACCATCAATCGAAAGAGTGGGGGGAGAAAATTTCCCGAAACTAGGTCACTGTACCTATCCATTCATAAAATCGGGATTGAATGCAGTCCTAGGACACTGCAATTCTTAAAGAGCTGTTTTGCTCTTTAATTCTACCAGTTTTTTGATAGATTAGATGAAATAAATGATTTTTTCTGTGTTATAGTATTTTTTATAATTATACAAAAACTATAATCACCTGAAATCAGCCCTTGTTCAGATGCCAGCACCATTTCTTTCAATCTTTCAACATCCCCTCTCCTAGCATAGTTTCTATATTCACTACAACACCAAAAACAACTGAAAAATTCAACGCAAAACCTACAAAATCACTAGTAAAGTTTTTGTGTTTTTTTCGCTCGCTCTGTGTTTGGAGGATACTGGCCGAATGCGCTTGGCAACGCCGTCGTACACTACGTAGCGGGAGTGTGTGAGGTTTGCGTTGTGCCTTTCGGGCTCAGCGTGCGCCTGCGTGGGGGTGAGGGCGGCGTGAGCCCTGCAGAGGTCGCTAAGGGCGAGGGAAAAGGTCCCGGCAAGGACGACGTTCCTGCTTGCAACTAGAGATGGGCGGTTATTGGTAAAAAACCGGTTATAGGTTAACCGGAATTATCTTTAAAAAATAATAACTTGACAAAATTAACCGACACAAATTAACCGGTTATTCAAATAACCTAACCTAGCAAAACTAAATATTTAATTTTCCTATAGGTTTACTTGGTTTACTTACCTCCACACTCCATAGGTCTACTTCAAATTTAGATAATAAACTTAGTTATAGTTAAATAGAGAGTGTAGCAATGTAAATATGTATATGTACAAAATGAATTTAAATAAAAATGCTAACCTCACTTTTTTGAGTAGACATGTATATGATATTAAAACTAGTAATTACTTAACGTTCAAATAAACCACACAACTCACAAGTTCTACAATCTACAACCAAGTTATTTTAATCAAATACCAAAGAAAAATAAGGAGACTGAATGAATAGATAATGAAAGATTATCTTCATTCATTACTTGAACTTCAATTTTGTATTCTTTAGTCTAAGCTTCAAGAGAGACTTCAAACTACAAATAAAATATATTTACGGTGAAACGTGGGTGAAACTGGGCGAAACCATGGAAAACTTTTGAAGAACCGTTGAAAATCCGTTAAAGTGGGTTAAAATTTAAATATAGAATTTAGAGAATCTATTTGAAGTTAGGTTCGTATCACTTGGCTAGCTGGTGGCTAGTAGTAGTCTATGCCATTAGTACTTTGTTTTACGGCCTGACCTGTCAGGGCCATTCGGCTGTTGTTTTGATTATTATCATCAGGTTTCGCCTGATACCTGATTTAATTTTGACATTTGATGTTTGATGTCATATATTTTCGTTTTGGGAGCGGGAGCGGGAGCGGGATCTCCCGTTATCGTCGTAATATCTGGAAGATCCGTGCCGTTCGCTCCTTCGAAATTTACGATTCAAACAGCTAATATGTAATTGTTACTTGTTTTAAACAAGTACGATTTTTTTAAAAATAACCGGCTATAAGTTATTGACCGTAATGCAAGGTTATTAGGTTAACTGGTGAAAAAAAAACTACCTTTAAATAACCGGTTATTTTAGAGGAAAATACCGGTTATTCAAAAAACCGGTTACTTTTGCCCATCTCTACTTGCAACCTCCGGCCGGCAGCGGTCGAGGAGGCCTTGGAAGGACGCAGGAAGGCGGCGTTGTCGGATTGGGATGTATTTCGGTAGATTTGAGGATTTTTTTTAAATTCTTCTTTCCTTACAATGCTCTGTTAACTGGTCGTTCTATTTAGATATTTTAAAAAGATTAAGGAGCATATCAAAAAGCTAACGTTGAGCTCGATGGGGACCTACACATAACTAAGGCTGTATTCCGTTGCAAAACCAGGCGAACCAGACCGGTAAACTACGGTAAAGAGCGGTTCCTGAAAAACATCGGTTTGATACGGAATGGTTTGGTAAAATACTGGAAACGTCAAATGTTGACGTTTTCTAAATTTCAATACCTCTATTATAAAATTTATCTTTTAAGCATTTTTAATGTACCTATTCTCTGCTTTTACGTTTGCTTCTTCTTTTCAATGGAGTTTAATATTGAAAAGTACTTTATTAATAAACTTTTAAACTCATTAGACAACTCCAGTGAAGATTTGCAGGTCCAATATTAAAACAGACCAATAATAAATAAACAAATCTAATCAATATTTATATTTTTACAGCTTACAAAACATTCACGATTACTTGTCTTGTTTTTCATGTTTTCTTTAAATGTTCCTGACTTTAAGAAACAATTGCTGCATGATAAGTTTAAATGGTCCTAAAAAGTCATTCTATTTAGTTAATGAAATTTATTTACCTTTACTGCCCTACCTCATTGCTAAATACATGTAAATACAAAATATTATTACAAATTTTAGAAATTAAATGAGAATTTCGCTCGAACTTCCAATATTTGCTTGCTTTCTGTCACATAAATGACATTGATTGACAAACAAAACCAGAAAAACCAGCCTTCTCTCGCTGGTTAGTTTGGTGACAGTGATAACCGAATTTTTCAGGAACCGTTTTTTTCCGTAATAAGAAAACTCTCAGGAAACCAATAAAAACGGAACATAAAATCATAACCAAGGTAAGCAAGGGAATACACCCTAATTTAAACTCCAGTTTATCCGTTTCCTTCTAATTTTATTTAAAAGTTGTAAAAATGTAATGCAGGGTAGACTCAAACATAACTCGATAATTTGATGTTTTATTTTATGTTGTCAATTAATTTTAGTATTATTACATATTCAAATTACTATAAAAATATATACAGGATGTTCCTTAATGACATGCTAATATTTTATGAGGTGATTCTTGGACTTATTCTAAGAAAAGAAAATAAACCTCTTAACTTTTCAGATTTTTTTCGGAGTAAAATTTTCTATTTTTTTTCAAAATATCTATAATTTATTTCTTAATTTCCTTCAATTTTCCAGCCGATGGAGAAATAATTTCCACACGACAGTGATCAGATTTTCAACGATTTTACTCTGAAGTAAACTGAGTTTAATTTTTTAAGCAAAAACTATTGCATCAGAACGAAAAAAATCAAGAGATAAAAAATTTAGAAATGAATGGAGATTTTGAAAATAATTTTTATATGAAGAGAAGTCGGTGGTGTACCACTTTTTTTATCCAAAAATATTCAATGTAAAACCTATGGACGACACTGGTTGAATTAAATAAAATTGTTTGCACACCAAAAAAGGTATTTTGATGCACAGAACACGTGTATCAAGTCTCATAAAGATATCTACAGGGTGAGTTTTCTACGATGTTCTCTATGGGCCTTGTATATGAATTTTTAAAGTAGCTCAACCTAAGACGTTTATGGATGTAAAGCACCAGATGGCGGGGCGTATTTCACAGTCTTTTACTACAGAAAAATATTTTTTGTTACTCTGAATTTTGAAGCGACCAATAAAAACAGAGAAAATAAAAATCGATAATTTTCGTACTGTGCCAATTGGTTACTAATCGACCAGATACTTTTTGTCTATTAGATATGCTATAAAAGCTGGTAATTATACAATTCGACCATTGTAAATACCGACAAATTTCTGCAAGGCCGACGAGGCCGATGCTTTTCACTGATAAGAAAAAAAAAATGTTTGTTTAGATAATTTTCGAGATATTTTTCTTTCTGAATGCACATTTTTAAAGTATTTTATATTCTTTGTCCGCTTGATCTATTATACTGGTTGCACGTATCGAGGTTCTGTTTCTTCTAGTTTTAAAAAATGTTCTTATTTCTTTGTAATTGTAGTGGTTGTAGTGTAAAATTAGATTAATTTTATTAAGTTTAATTATAATGTTTAGTGTAGAATACCAGAAACAGTTTAGTAGTGTTTTTATAGTTTATTATTTTGCAGTTAAGTAGTAGGTGAAAGGATAATTTGGTTATTTTTTCTTTTTGTTTGATTAATTAGTAAGTTTGATAATTTTTTCAGTGTAGAAGTGGTTGAAGTAGTGAAGAAGTAGTTGTGTAGTGTTTTTATAAGAGATTATATTAGTTTATTTTGTAGATGAGTAGTAAGTGAAGGTATTTGGGTATTTTTCTTTTTGTTTTTCTTCTAATTGTAGTAATTCTATTAAGTATTGTGATAGATACACTATATCTTCCTTCAACTTCGTTGAAAAGTGCGTTATCATATAATTTTGGTTTTCTGGTAGTAGAATATACGAAGAAAAAATCTGATCAAATTTATTTTAAATTAAATTAATCGAGTTTTATTAATCAAACTAATCTAGCCAAATAATAATAGTTAGTTTCTAAATACTAAACAGGGTGAGTTTCCTACGATGTTCTCTATGGGTATCTCGGAAACTACTGGAGATAGAGTCGGTTAAATGGGAAAAAAATTGCAGTTTTGTGGGGTCATAAATATGCGCCTTTCGGATTTTTCGGAGAAATTCAAGGCTTACTAGATATTTCGAAAAAAAAATGTTTGGCTATTTTAAAACTTTGTCTCTAATTCCATTATAATCTACCGTATGATCGAATAAAAACGGCGTCAACGATGGCTATGAAATGAAGATCTCTGTCATTTTATACCTATGTTTGTGCCTATGTAAAATTATATGGGAAATATCATCGATCGTCATTTCATAGCCATCGCTGAAGTTGTTTTTATTCGATCATACGGTATTTTAGACAAAAACTTTTCAGATAAAAGTTGTAGATAATCACATACCTAATGAGTTTGTGTTTTCTGTTTTTTTTTTCTAACGTCTGTCATTTTTGACATATGACACAAACATTATGTTTTTTTAAATGGAAACCATAGTTGGCCATGACTTCATAAAAAGCGCCATTTTTTAAGCTTTTCAGCGATATAGGTATAATATGTTTTTTTCGAAAAATTACAAGTTATAGCCAATTCTTTTCTTCTTGGCTAATTTCCATACCAATAATACCATGCCAATTAGTTGGCATCAAAATGTAAAAGTTTCATGTTTTCAAAAAAAATATCATAAAATTCGTAAAGCACTCAATTTAGAATAAAATAATCTACGAATGAAATGATTCTTTTATAAACCTGCATTAAATCAAATTAAAATAGGTATGTAACTTTTTTTTAAATATTAATTAACAGCAATTAGCATTATCATAAATTATAAATAATGTACCAACATATCGAAATAATAATTTCTTTGTTAATACGGTTTAGAATTCTTAAAATAACAGGCAAAAATAATCCACAATTTACAATAAAATAGAAGTTTCGTTTAAATTTCTTAATCAGCTGATCACTATTAAAGTTCGTAGAAACCCTGGGCTATATTATTACATTACTCTGAGGAAAATAACGAAAATAATCGATATTTTTGACTCCGCCCCGAAA